ACGCGCGGTCGCGGGCCCCGCAGGCACGGTCTCTGGCGCTTCGGGCGGCCCGAAGCGATGCCAACGTGGAGCCGGGGCCTGCGACGATGGCCGCGGCCGGGGCGCGCGATGCCCCGCTGGCGCGCGAAGGGGAGGAGGAGCGCCAGGGCGGCGCAGCTGGCCCGATCGGCCTCGAGGAGTTGGTCGGGCGCCTCGTGGAGGAGAGGATGCGGGAGAGGGAGGAGAGGTTACGCCTCGTCTCCTACGCTCTCGGCAAGACACATGTCGCGAGGGCCCGCGCGTGCGAGTCGAGAGTGCCCCGCGAGCGGAGCTCGCTGTGCGGCTGGCATTTCGGAGGTCTCCCACAGTCGGCCCTCACCTTCCACGAGGGGCGCGCTGACTTGCATGACGCCTGCAGGAAGTGCGTCCGGCTCGCGGCCTCGCGTGGCTGGCCGGTGGACTGCGCTGCAGCCGGCGCCGGCGGCGAGCGTGGCGAAGGCAGCTCGTCCTCGCAGTCATCCGATTCCGGTTCTGGGTCGGACAGGCCGCCGTCGGACGATGCCGAGGCGGGTCGAGGCGAGACCGAGGACGAGGCTCCCGGTGCTCGTGCTTGACGTCTCGCCGTCCTGGCTCTCTTGGGCAGGGCGGGGGACAGTGTGCTTCATTTTGGGGCCGAGTTTTGGAACGTACGCTGGGTCGGGTCGCGGCCAGGGCGGGCGTGCCAGTCGCGAGCGACGCCGGCGCCCCGATCCAGGCGCACTGAGGAAAAGAGGAGCTTCGAGCTTCGACCTCTCTCACCCCACCCTCCGTCCTCTGTCTTCGGCGGGCGGGGGGGGTATCACATGTGCAACAAGTTATCGTGACTTTTAGTGCCAAGTAAAAGAAATGATAACTGTTACATGTGTCGGGCGGCGTTGGGCCGTACAGGATTGTAGTGCACGATGTTGCCACTTCCGAGGGTTAAAACTGAGGCCTCAGTTTTAACCCTCAAGCGGACCTGGTCACCGAAGGCCCCCGACCAGGAGCCCTGCCAAGGGTGGGGCCCCTTTGCGGCCTCCTGAGGTCACCGGCCGGGGGTTCCCACTGCTTGCGTCGGTGACCTTCTGGGGCCCCCTTGCGGCCTCCTGAGGTCACCGGCCGGGGGTTCCCTCTGCTGTTGCATCGCATTGTGTTGCATAGCGTCTTTGCTGCCACAGTGCTCATGCTGTTCCGTGGCCTTTGGCTCAGTGGCCAAACTGGTGCTCATTCTTATTGACCCCGCCCTCCCAGGCCCTTCGAATGCGTGGACGACCCCCACCTCTCCAGGTGTGGCCTTTTGGCCCACGTGGAGGCGCTCAGGCGTGCAGCACGGCGCGGTAACGCCGAGAGGGGTGAGTTGTGTGATGTTGTGAGGGGTGCGTTCACTTCCGAGGGGGCGGGCGTGCGGGCGTGCCAGTCGCGAGCGACGCCGGCGCCCCGATCCAGGCGCACTGAGGAAAAGAGGAGCTTCGAGCTTCGACCTCTCTCACCCCACCCTCCGTCCTCTGTCTTCGGCGGGCGGGGGGGGTATCACATGTGCAACAAGTTATCGTAATCCGTTTTCCCTTGCAAAAAACACTATAAAATGACATTTCTTGTTCTAATATAATCAAATTTCAAGAATCCCTTGCAAAAAATAAGGTAAAGTGGACATTCGCGCGCGCAAGACGAAATCCTTCCAAAAGCTTAGTGTTCGGAGCGATTTTAACATAAAAACATCAAAAAACCAATGGTTTTTCAACAAAAAAATGTCAAAATCTCATCCCGCGCGCTCTTGCGGATTCGTAGGAAACCCAACACTTTTTAAACATTTCTGTCAAACGGGCTTTTGCGAGCAACTTTTTCGAACTTCTGCGACAACGGTTGCGCACCTGCCAGGGCCATCATCCCTGTCAAATAATACCATGCGGGACACATTCGTTTTTTCTTCGCGCGCGCACGCCGAAATCTCCAAAAACCATTGGGTTCTTAAGAATTTTAGCACCGCGCATCATAAAATCACACGAATCGCACCGTAGGTCGGGACAACCACAACCATCAGGACAACCATCGGGACAACCATCGAGACAACCATCGGGACAACCACATCCTCTCTCTCTTGTGTACCCCCACATCCCTCAGGAATTTGCCCTAAAGATGTGATCAACTATCTTGTGAGTACGTATCATGTGTATCATGTGTATGATGTACCATATGCATCATATGCAACAGATGTTCTGTGGAAGGCTTAACAACTTCTGTGGGTTCACAAGGCTTAACAACTTCTGTGGGTGTACGAACGTAGGCTTAACAACTTCTGTGGGTGTGTACTCCACGCCAGTGTAGTAGCCACGGTCGTCCGCAGGCCACGAAGTGAAGTGTCCGAACGTCATAGGGCGGGAAGCTGGGTGTGGGTGGTGGCGAAGAGTCGTGTGGATATTTGGTAGAGCTTGCACTGCCCCCCCACAAAGTGGGGGTATTGGCTGGCGTCGCATGAAAACCCTGGCACTGGTGAGAACACTGA